GGTTTCCTTAATTTCCTTAATGTATCATTTCTTTTGTCCATACTTTATTCTCCATTTACTTTCAAATGAAGTTAAAATTAAAATAATCGCAGGATGGAATTAGACTTAAACTACATATGTATACATATGTATGTAGGTATATGAGTAAAGAAATTTTTAAATTCTCATTTTCTATTTTTGGAAAACTATGTAAATTATATTTAAGACGAAATGAAGAGTTTTTCAACCCTTCAATTTTAAATTGAATAAAGTATTAAAATTTTTTTTGTCCATATCTTCCCGTCCACTTTCATATATATACATATGTGCCTACATCTCATATTGAATATATATCTACATACATATATATGTAATATTCATCTTCCTTACATACATAGTAATTTAAAAGAAATCAGAACGGAAGTAAATTTAAAAACATTTTTCTTTTCTAAATTGCACACTTGTATAATGAATGCATTAAACTGGAATATGATTGCATAAAACCAAATTTACCGGAAATCATTTTTATGACCATATCAAAAGTATCAAAAACGCATATATGTAGATGTAAGTTTAGTGATAATACCGATAATATAATGCACTACATGCGCACACATGTACATATATTTACGATAATATTCATATTCAGTGTATGAATATAAAGTAAATGTACTGATCATAATAACGGCAGACACTATTATCACTTCAAGGTATTGTTGTCACCTTAAAAACAAAAAAAAAAAAATCTGATGTGGTCAGCACATAACCGACCGCATTGTGTATTGTCTAGTTAAATGAAAGTGTTACAGAATATTATAAAAATGTCTGTTAAATACTTCTTTCCAATTTTTAGGACATTAGTAAGCTTATAGTTAACATAATCAGAAAAATGTAAATTTGGCTCTTAGTAGAGTTTCGCTTTGTGCTACCCGAATTCCCTGAAATGCTCGCCAGTTAGTTTCGGTAACAACCAGAACTCAAATATCAAATTTCAAGAAATTCCATCAATTTGTTCTGTGGATATGGTGAAAAATGTAAAATCGGCCCGCAAATCAGTTCTCGAGCCCTGATCTTTCCAAAAAAGTTATATGGTCATTGCTTTAATATGAGGAATTCATATATTAAATTTCAATGAAATCGGTTGATTATTTCTCTTTATATACACAAAAATGTATATTTGGCCCGTAGTAAACGTCTAGTTGCCGATGCCTGATTTCTTCCAAAACATACGAATTTTTGCGGACGGTCGAACTGAGCTTATATATAAAATTTCAAGTAAATCGGTTGAATATTTTCTTCAAAATGTTCAAAAATGTAAAACAGGCCCGCTAAAAAGTGCAGTACCCGAGGCCTGATATATACCAAAAGTTGATCGATCCGTGCCATGGTCTAAACAAACTTACATATAAAATTTCATCAAAATCGGTTCCGACATACGGACAGACCGACAGACCGACAGACCGACAGACCGACTAAATAATTGCTAAAAATAGTTTATTTACACTTCCCTACTATGGAGAAGTACGTTCCCACCGAAAACTCGATATGCAAAATTTGTTGCCATCACATAACCTACCTATTGTTTACACAATACGGTCGGTAATAATAAAGTTGGGACAAACAACTGGTTCGTAAAGGAGCACTTTTCACTCCAACAAAGTAAAAATACAGTTTTTAAAAACAATATGTGTATTCAAACAATATTTAAATTTTAAATCATTAAAATATTTTGAATAATTGCATACAATTAGGATGAGACAAAAAAAATTTAAAGACTCGTTAATATGATTGAATTTAAGGATTAATTGCGTGAGTTGAGAAAAATAATTACATTTTTTTAATGGCGTGACATTTATCGTCAACTTTCTGCATTTTTAGAAATTTGAAAAAGCTTTCGGAAATTCGAAACGAGTCGAAAATTTAAATATTACGAACTTCGAATGGTTAGAACTTGAGAGGGTTGAAATTGGAAAAAAAATTTTGTTTAAACAAAATAAATTGTTTTTTAATATCTAAAAATTGGTAAAATTTCAGACCCCTACAATTACGATCTAGAAGAAAAACTATCGCAAAAATTAGAAGAAAAATGGATTTTAGTTAATGGTTAATATCAACGGCCATTTTGTCAACGGACAGACGAACAAAGTGAAACTAATAAACACTTTTTTTAAAAAATTTTTGCAAAAGTACTAAAAACGATTAATTCTATGTAACACAAAAAAAAGGAAGAAAATTAAATTCGGTCTTACTTACCATTTAATTTTAGTTTTAATTATAAAAATATACAAAAAATATATTTTATAAACATACATAACATACATACATATGTATGTGCAATTAAAAATAAATTTAAAATTAAATAAAAATTTACTAAGAAGTTAAAAAATTAAAATGCACATTCCTATGATTTCGAATGGACGTTCTCATTTCTATAAGATTTGGTGAATAGAAAATTAAGTTAAGTTGAAATTAAAGTTTAAATTGAAGCAACATTGTAATTGGACAACAATTCATTTAATTTAAATGGAATGTTTCTCACTATAACACATTCCGACTGTAAAAAGCTCTTCCCCGACTATTAACTCATATGCATATTTTTGATTTAAATGTATTATTAAAAATTATAATTGATTTAATCTTTGTAAATTCTTAATATTTTTACTAGTTTATGGGATATAATGATGACATAAACAGAAAAACAACAGAGAAGCAACAAAAACCAAAATAAGATATAAGTTCCGGAATTATCAGATTATTTTAAAAAATTGTCAAGTTTTTACTCCTAGTAGTAACGGATATTCACCTACAAATAATTACAATTTTGAAATACTCAGGCTGAGATTAAAAATTTCTAACACGATATGTAAATCGCGTTCTGGCTAACATATCGGTTCTCACAAATAATTTCCAAATTTTCAAACCACATATAAGTTTCGGCCACTATCAACGATATTTTATGAACATAAATCAGTACGACCGACGAAAATTACGCCATATAAAGAAATTGCAATAAGCTTTGTAGATTGTTGTCCTTCTACTAAATCGTTTTTATCTTAAATTATGCAAAAACAAGAAAAAGAACAAAAAAAAAATTAAAATTCAAAAACAGAAATTATCATAAAAATTTAAAGATTTCAAATCCTTCTATTTTTTTTTATTCAGTATTTTTCAATTTCTGAATCCCGGTTGTTTCTATTTATTGTTTTTACCTATTTCTCATTTTTTTTTTTTCATTTTTCTGATGTGCATTTTTACGACATTAATTGTTTTCACCTGAATACTTGACATAAGCTCCTCACATAAAATGCATATACATAAGTATCTATACACTTACATTTATTGTTACATACAAACGTACATGCAAATATTGAAACTGATACAAAGTATACAGAAACAAGCGCATAGAAAATATTTTGTATACTAGAATAGAACGTGAGGTAAAATGATGCACTTAAGATAATTGCATTAAGAACCAACATTAGAAATAAGGAACAGAAAAACAAAACAAGTGCAAGCAAAAGTAATAATGAAAGGATAATGTCTTACCGTCATAGTCTACAATGCTTCTATATACATGTACCTGGCTATAATAGCTCTGCTTGCTTCCTCTTTCAAAATTTAATTTCGTGTGAGAAAATTTCATATTAAAAAATGATACTTGAATTAATTTCTTTAAAAAAAATTCTAATTCTTTTTTTTTTGTCCTTTTTCTAAAATTATACATTCAAAACTTATAAAAAATTTCGCAAATGTTATAAAAATAATTGTAAAAGTAAAATTTTTTTTATAACATTATTCTTACCAACTTTCATAAACCCAACAGAAAGAGCATAGACTAGACTCAATGCAAGTGCATTACATTTGCAAATATAATGAAATAGGTTCGTCTATTTCATACAACAATAATATTCTGGCAGTTTTTTTATTTAAATAAAATTTAAATCTTTAAGAATTTGCATAAGTTCTTCAAATATAGAATTTCAAAATCTAAATAGAAAACTTATTTTAACATAATTTTTCTTTTATATTAAATTGAATTATTTTCATTTAAGTAATGGAATTTTTATATGCTTAAGTATCTAAGCATATAATTATGTATACTATATACATACATTTTGTAAATAGTACCCAAAAATCTTGCAATTTTAAATTTTTTTAACCTGTAAACGCAAGTACATATAATGTAAGCATGTATCTCTTCCCGTAATGAAATTCTTAATTGCACCAATAAGTAAGTCTTATAGAAAGTACTATTTTATGCATTCTATTCGCAATATATACATATACACATACATACAATAATTATTTATTTATTACATATATACAATAATTATTTTTTAAATTACTTAATTATTAGAAAGCAATAAGATTAAGTACATAAGTAGGTACCTAATATAAGAAGTGTAACAACATTGTTATTTAGGTGAATTAGATTCCAATTGATGTGAGGGTAATAAACGAATATAAGAGTATTAAATTTTTAAATTAAAATTTTGCAAATTTTCAATTAATAGATATCTTCTTGTGGGCAAGTCGAAAAAATCATTTCCAATAAAAATCGTGGATTTTTCTGAACTGAACGAATTATTGCAATGCCATAAATACAAACATCTTTTATTTTTCATAAGTACCTTTTAAATATAACCAGAAAAAATAACCAGTGAAAAATTTTGTTTTGTCAAGAACTTCAAATCTCGAAATTGATTTTATTCTGAAAATTACAAAATTTTTATCATCTTAAGTGATGCAGCTAACAAAATATATGTGATTATTCTTGACATTTTTGGAAAACATAGATTACAAGTACAACTTATTTATGAAATTAAGTAGCTACTTAATTTTGATCTTTTAAGTACTAAATCCATATGAAAGCTACATATCTTGGAATTAAGATCAAATAAAAAATATAAATATTATGATGATTTGACAAAATCTTTACATCTTTATTGACTATTTCAGAAAAATATAATAAAATTGCAAATACACAATAATAATCATTGTGCCCTATTATTAAAAATTTATCCCTTTTATTAAAATCATAAGTCTTTGAGTTGCATAAGTAAATTTTGATTATTTTAATAAAATATTTAATAAATAGAATTATTGCATCCCTTTGGTAATGCAATAAATTGCAATGGGTGTTGTATTATCCCAATAAAAATATTGTTTGTCTGATTCAATTGCAATCTTTTCAGCTGTAAAATCTCGTTCTCCTAAAAGAGACAAATTTATGAGTTTACTTAAATAAAAACAAGCCTAAATTTAAGACAAATTTTTAATTTTACTTAAATAAAGAAAAAATATTACCTAAAATTTTTAAAAATTCGTCCACTGTTTCACTATTTCTTATAGTTGCAGCTAAATACATTATAACTTCATATTTCATATATTTAAATATGTAATCGATTGTATTGCAAAGTGAAGTAAAAGTTGAACTATCATAAATAACATCAGCTGCTAAAATAACATTTGGATAAAATATATTATCCAAATTCAGTTTTTCAATATTCTCCCATTGTAATAAAAATGTTGAAACAAATTTCCCATCTTTTAAAGAATATTTACTATAATTGCTTTCAGACTTGATTTCAATTAAATTGCTAAAATTATTTATTAAATTTGTTTCAAGCAAATTTAAAACCTTAACACTACCATCCGTTATCATAACTTCTGAAGGATTACAACATTTTAAAGCTGTAAAACTACAGAGACCTGTTCCTGCACCAAGCTCCAATATGGTTTTATTATTCATCTTTTCTGAATTATTAATTATCCAATTTGATAATAATAAGGAAGCTTGCCAACTACATAATCCAGTTGTACCTTCTGCCACAAAGCTTTTTGATTCTTTAAGACTTATAGGGGCATCATTTTGAGCTAAAAGATAATGTTTATAGGCTAAATTTTCCTCTTTATTTGGTGTACTATTTAGAGCACAAAATCTTTCATATATACGGTCGTGAATTTCAATATTATTTAACTCAAAATATTCAATTATTTTCTTTAAAAATGATAACTGATAACTTCGCCGTATTGGAAATTTTTTGTTTAATTCATTTTCTATTACATTTTTCAAAATAAGTTCCTGTTGGTCCCAGGTTATGTCCTTTAGATTCTTAAAGTAGTTTAAATGTTAATACATACTATACATAATAAATTGCCAATCATGTAAAACTTACCTCCCAATTTATTAAATTAATATTAAAACATGACAAAAATTGCGCTTTTAACTTATCAATATATTTTTCTAAGTCCATATTTAAATTACATAGAATATTTTGTAGACAACAACACAGTTACAGAATTGTGTATGTACAAGAAAATTGCGAAAAATTATTTTGTTTACATTTTTTTGTTTATACTTTAGCGCAATGACTTCAATTGTCAAAAATTTCAAAACGCTGTTGCTATACTACCATTGCCGCCAACATGAAAGGAATGTTTTAGGGTTGTGTTGATTTATTAAATTTCTTAATGAAGAAAATTTTGTATTTAGAATGAAGTATAAATGTCCATTTTTTTAAGATTTAGAAATTTTCAACCGAATTAATTTCGTGCAGCTGTTTCATTATGGAGATTACAAATTTCTTGTACTCTATAAAAGATATGTTTTCCTTTAAGCCTCAAACAAAAATTTTATTTTCATTTTTACAATTTATCCGAAACCTAACAAACAGATTAGTTTGTTAGATAAATTTATTAAAAATGTAGTATTTGAAAATTGCCATTATTTAGTACATAAAAAATATGACAAAATATCTTTTTAGTTTTTCAATATATTCTTATATTCTCACCACAATATTTTTGTCTTAAAGAAGAATTATTATAATTTTTATATAGTAATATAAAAAACATACCAATTAAACATTAATTTATTAATTGAATTGCTCATCGCGAAAAGGTCATTTATCTACAATAGTAATTAATTCATTAGAGCAAAAAACTAATTCGTAAAAAAAATATTTTTGAAATAATATAAAAATCAGTTTTATTAGATTGTTATTTTTTTTAAAACTTGCAAATCAGTAAAATGAAAAATATTTCAGTTAAGGCCTTAACTTTCATTTTATAACAAGACCTTTAAATCCAATTAGTAGCGCTATTGTGATGCTAGTTCTATTGTGATGTGGTTTTAAAAAAAAGAAATTCTTCTTTAAATTCAGCTATTTCTAATTATTTTACGTAATTAGACCATTTTTTTACGAATTGTGTAATTCCTGGGTTCGAAAAAGTCGTACTGCAAAAATATTGTTGTTCGACTTTTTCGAACCCAGGAATTCAATATTAATCTTAAGCAATTGTAATTTTTCAGTATCAAAATATTACGGTCCACCCTATTTATCAAACTGGATAACAAACTCTACCATGTAAAATCACATTTTGCAAAAATGATGTTTATTTTGACAATTCGATAAAACTGCCCACAATTTTTTATAAAGCAGCGTAGGTCTTTATAAAACAATATTAAATAAAAGAAACAATAAATAGATATAGGTAAAACAAAAGAAATGTTTACCAAATTTAGTGAACATAATATTTAAATTGCATTTTAGCAATAATTGTGTCATACCAAAAACAAAAAGAGGTTCACCTTGAAGTCGTAATTGTATTAAAATAGTTCTGAAACGAAAACATTCAAAATAGACTTTGAGTAATGAGTTCAAATTAAAAAGAAAAAAATATCGATTTATTAAACTTTATTTAATCAATTTTTACTATTTTGACGAAAAAAAAATTTAATATTTAAAATTTTTTTTGAAAACATAAAATTCAAATTTTTTGGAACGGAAATAATGGTAAAAAAGTTTTTATGTTCATATGTATTTTGTATTGATACCTAATTTACTATTTACTATATAAATTATTTTTGTATAAGTAAATATTACTATTCTTATCTGAAAAATAAAAACTTTTTTAATTTATTTACCCGATTAGAGTTCATCGATCATTACTAGAAACGAAGCACAAAAGGCGAAAATTCAAACTCGTGCTACAGTTAAAGCTAGACAACCAAACGCAGCGTTACTTGAAGCAAAAAAACGTGGAAAATTATTAAAAATGATGGAGTCTCAAACAGAACAGACCACATCAATTAAGGATATATACCAAAAAGTAAAACTAATACATAATTAGACTAGAAAATTTAAAAAACTACGCCAATTAACAATAATTTTAAATTTTTAGGCACTTGATTTTAAGAAAATGATTCGCTCAGAAACTGGTATTATATATGACGAAAGAATGGTAGAACATAGATGCCTGTGGGATGAAAATCATCCTGAAAAACCAGAGCGTTTTATAAGAGTAATTGAAAGGTAAAGTTCCTATTCAAATTTTTAAAATTTTTGTAAAACTTTTGTTAAAAAAAAAACGCATGTATGTACCTACTTATACGCCCAAGAATTAGTCGCAATAAATTATTAATGTTATTTACATATTTGGAAGCTTTTAATATTTAAAAATTCGGTAAAATTGTATATTTTATTATATATTTATAAACGTACCCACCCGCCCCTCTATTGAATAATATGCAAATAGCAAATTTATAGTGAAAAAATGCCTAGAACTTAAAGTAAATCAAATTAATTTTAAATTTCAACTTTAAAAGAAAAAACTTAATATGTATAAGGTTTTGGTTTATCTTTATTTGAATATCAATTAAAAGATAAGATTAATCAATTATAAAAACATTATAATTAAAGAGGATGGGGAGTTTTTTTTTCTAACAACATGTTAAGTTAATAAAATTGTTGAACGAATTACATTTAAGTAGATTACGTAAACATTAGTAAATGTATGTAATAATATTCTTTTTAGATGTAAGGAATTAAAATTAATAGAACGTTGTCAACGAATTCCATCAAGAAAAGCAACAAAAGAGGAAATTTTAATTAAACATACCGAAGAACATTATGAAAAATTAAAATCCACTTCAGAAGGAAAAAATGAAACTGAACTTGAGAATTTTAGTTCCAATTATGATTCGATATATTTTCATCCAGTAAATGCATATATGAAAACTTTAATTGCTGCATCATCATTAAATTACTTTTCAATAATTTCAGTCTACTTTTGAACTATCTCTTTTGGCAACTGGGTCAACTATTGATCTCGTGCACAATATTGTAAAAGGAAAAATACAAAATGGTATGGCTATTATAAGACCTCCAGGACATCATGCTATGAAATCTGAATTTAATGGGTACCCAAAAAAAAAGCAATTTTTTTTTTTTGCAATATAAATTATTAAAATAATTTTTGTTTAATAGTTACTGTTTCTTCAATAATGTGGCAGTTGCAGCGCAATATGCTTTAGACAAATTGAAACTTCAAAAAATTTTAATTGTCGATTGGGATATACATCATGGACAAGGAACTCAGAGATTATTTTATGACGATCCAAGGTACAATTTAAATTAATTAAACGCTTATTTTTTATTCCAATAAAAACATAATGTTTTTTACAGAGTATTATATTTTTCAATTCATCGATTTGAATACGGAACTTTTTGGCCGAATTTAAAGGATTCAAATTTTGATTTTATTGGAGCTGGAGAAGGTTTAGGTTATAATTTTAATTTGCCCTTGAATGACAAAGGCATGCAAAATGGTGATTATATGGCAATATTCAATCAAATATTACTTCCTGTTGCAGTTGAAGTAAGATTTTTATAGTAAAATTTTTAATTTTGTATCAAACTAATTGATAAAATAGTTCCAGCCAGAGCTCATAATTATTTCTGCTGGATATGATGCTGCTTTAGGATGCCCAGAGGTGTGAAATTCATAAATATAACAATATTTTATTAAATTTTAACACAAATTTTAGGGTGAAATGGAAATTACGCCTGCATTTTATCCTCATTTACTCAATTCGTTATTATGCTTAGCTCAATCTCGTGTAGCTGTGATATTGGAAGGTGGTTACTGTCTTGAATCATTATCGGAAGGCGCTGCATTGACTTTACGATCACTTTTGGGTGATCCCTGCCCTTTGATAGACAAAATAGAAGCACCATGTGAATTAGTACAAGAAGCAATTTTAAATTGCATTTATGCTCATCGTCCATATTGGAAATGTTTACAAATTCAGAATACTTATACACTCGAAGACTTAAACAATTGTAATCCACAACCAGATCTTCATAAAGTCACTGCTTTATTTAAATGGAATGAGCCAGTTCCAGAGAAATTTCCTACAAGAGGATGTTATCCGATTCAAGATCGTTTAGTTGAACGTTCGATTGAGAGTAGATTGAGACAACTAAAACTATGTAAAATACAATAAAATATAATTAAATTTCAAATAATTGAGTAAGATTTCTTTATAGCAACGAAATTAACATTCCCAAAAACTCGAGTTTGCTATGTTTATGATGATTTAATGTTAGAACACACAAACAACTTTGAAAAAGATCATGTTGAGCAACCAGATAGAATAAAAATCATAAACGAAAGACACAACGAATATGGGTTATTGAAAAGAATGCAAAAACTAAAATCAAGATATGCTACCACCGATGAATTAAGTTTAGCTCATACCAAAACATATATTAATTCCATTAAAACGGCTGTGGAGAAAGATGAAGATTTGAAAAATCTTGGCAACTCATATAATTCAGTTTATTTTCATACAAAAACTTTTGAATGTGCTAAATTAGCAGCTGGGTCTGTATTACAAGTTGTTGATAATGTATTAAACGGCAACGCAAGGAGTGGTGTTTGCATTGTAAGACCTCCTGGTCACCATGCCGAAAATGATCATCCTCATGGTTTTTGTATTTTTAATAATGTTGCAATAGCAGCACAATATGCTGTCAGTATACATGGACTAAAAAGGTAAGGAAGAAACTTACAAAATTAAATATAAAATTTAGAGTTATTGGCAGATTCCTGATTTATCTTGTTTTAGAGTTCTAATTGTTGACTGGGATGTACATCATGGTAATGGAACACAACATATTTTTGAATCAAGCTCTAAAGTCTTATATATAAGTGTTCACCGTTATGATAATGCATCATTTTTTCCTAAAAGTACTGATGCTAATTTTACAGAAGTAGGACAAGGTCAAGGAATCGGTTTTAATGTTAACATTCCTTGGAATAAGGTACAAATATCTATAATTATAAATTTTTATTTTCTATTTTAATATTTAAATTATAAATTTACAGAAAGGAATGGGAGATTTTGAATATTCTCTTGTTTTTCAAAATATAATTATGCCAATTGCATATGAATTTAATCCAGAATTGATATTAGTATCTGCTGGCTTTGATGCTGCAATAGGTGATCCTTTAGGTGGTTGTAAAGTTTCACCTGAAGCATATGGTTGTTTTACACATTGGTTATCAGGTTTAGCTAATGGCAAAATTATTTTATGCTTGGAAGGTGGTTATAATGTCAATTCAATTTCATATGCAATGGTAATGTGTTCTAAGGCATTATTGGGTGATCCATCACCCATATTAAATATAAATTCAAATAAAACCGCCGCGTATACAAGTTGCATTGAAACTATACAAAATGTTATATATATACACAATAAATATTGGAAAAGATTAAAATTTAATAAAAAATTACCTCCATCACAAAATCAAAATAAAATAAAAGATATTGAAAAATTAATGGACGATATGAGAATTGACAATAATATAAATAAAGATGAACAAGAACACCAAGAACAACCCGGTCCAAGTAAACCAATTGAAAAAGGGCAAACTTTAACAGATTTTCTATTAGAAAATCAACAAGTAAGTACTTTTATTATGGTTATTATAATTTTATATTCTTTAATTAAATGCTTGATAAATTAAACGCTAATTAAAATTAAAAGAAAAAAAAATAGAACAAAAAATTCATGTATTAATATTCAAATTTAAAATTGTAGGCATTACAAAATGAGGAAATGTTTGCTGTCATACCATTAAAAAATTGCCCACATTTAGAATTATTAAATACTGGTGATATTCCAGAAAGTAAGAAGCTTTTCATTAAAATTGAGAATATTTTTGTTTTTATCATTTTTTTTATTTTTCTTTAATAATTTACTGTGCTTTATTTTTTTAAATTTTGGGGTTTATCCTACCCAATTTAAATTGGAAAAATTGATATTTTTTTGGTTTTCCCCATTATTTTCAATTTAAGCTTTGAATGCTTAATTTGATTTATTTTGAATAAAATTACATTAATTAATTAATTTAAATACAATATACAAAAGGAATGCCCTCATTTAAATATAATAAGATATTGTTTTTTTTTTTATTATTTCATATCACATTCCTTAAACTACAATGAACTTATTCTTTATAATTAATTTTTTTTAAATTTTCAGGTATAGATACTAAAGCAGAATGTGAAAATTGTCAATCATTACAAGAGAATTGGTTTTGTTTACATTGTAATAAAATCTATTGTGGACGTTATATTAATGAGCATATGTTATTTCATCATTTAGAAACAGAACATCCATTGGCATTAAGTTTTTCTGATCTTTCTGTATGGTGTTATATATGTGAAGCATATATTGATAATTCAATATTACATAAATATAAAAATTTAGCACATAAGAATAAATTTGGTGAAGATTTAGTTTGGTCATATGGTAATGATGATACAATTTATTTAGATGACGATGATAACTGATATTTACTAAATTTTATTTTATTTTTATTTTTTGTTATGTACTTTTGGAATGAATTTGACATAATTTTTTAAATGAAAAATTTAATTTTAAATATCTGTACTTTTTATAATATATAATAATAATTGTTTGAGTTCTTGTGAATAATCTACAGGTATTCCTCGAATAATTCAGTAATCAGTCGCGAATATTAAATTTGTTGGAAATGTACAAATTCGCATGAATTTTGAATTCTGTTACCTCAGTTTTTCAATTGTAATTAATTTTTTTTTTTGAACAGTAAAAGAATCGCATTATTCGAGGAAAATCTCTTTGTGTTTCTAATTTTGTTATGTTGTATTTTTACATTTTGTATATAATATACTTATAATTATTAATATTATATTTTTTGACAAAATAATTTCATTAAAATTAATATTGAAATTTATTTGCTAAATTTTTGTAAGAATAAAAAAATACAAGTAAATTAATATTAAACCAAAATTATTCTTAACTTATTTTCTAAATTTAGAAAATGTTGACTAACTTATTAATTATTAATATGAATTTACACTGAAATAATTGATATTTTTTTTGTATTTTATTTTATAATTTAATGTGACTTAAAAAAATTTCAAAACTATTTTGTACTGATTTTTTTTTTTAATTTAATTTATTTTAAGTTTCGGCAAAAGACAAAAACAAAAAATTTACTAATCCAAAGATTTTTTTTTTATTTAATTTTTTAATTATCGAATTTTTATTAAAATTAAAAAAATCCCAAAATTATACTAATATATTAAAAAACATATTGATTATTCTAATTTTATTAATATATAAATATATGTATTTGTATGAAATTCTAAAAAAAAAAAAATTTGAAAAATTTACACTTAATTTACTTACTACCTTAAGTACCTTTAGTACCTTTAATAATCCTTAAAAAATTATTTAAAACACAAAAAAAAAAAAAATTATATTTAGTAAACTAAAAACATATTTATAATAAAAAAAAAAAATACTTAATCAAAAAAAATAATAATAAAGTAAATTAAATAATAAATATTAATTCTCAAAACAATAAAATATGCTCGATATTTTGGATAATAATCAGTAAATAATTACCAATAATAAAGATAGTTTATGCTAGAAAGACAGGATAATTTGTTAAAAATAATATATGAACATTTTTTTTATTTAAAATTAGCATAATAAGATGAAGAAATTTACCAGTTCTTTTTCCCAATATTTAAATATACAAATATATTATTATATTTAATTGTTACTTGTTGTAAATTATATAAAAAAAAAAGTAATTAATAAAAGAAAATTTAAACAAAATCAATATACCTGTTACGTATATAGTAACTATTCTTCTCTCCTTGCCTTATTCCTGTTTTGTAGGCTCTCCTTATTCTTAGACGCCAAGTTTTCCTTTCTTGTTGTAGATTATTTCTTTTCCTGGGTGGTTCTTTAATATTCATTGCTTTTCTTACAATGTGGTCATCATTCCTTCTACTTATGTGTCCATACCAGCGTAGTCTGTTTACTTAGTTTTTTTTTGTTTATAGGTGTTATTTTCAGACTGTCTCTTATATAAATATTTTTAATTTTGTCTTGTTTGGTAACATTTAAGGCCCGTCTTAGCATTCGCATTTATGCTACATATAATTTTTGGACGTGTTGCTTCTAAGCTGTCCAGCATTCAGTGCCATACATTAATGCCGGCCTGACAACAGTTTTATACAGTTTTCCTTTTATTTTGACTGGCGTTATTTCGTCATACAAGATTCCGGTAAGTGTTCGCAATTTAATCCAACCAGTATTAATTATATGTTTAACATCCTGATCTATTTTTCCATCTACTGTTATAACTGATCCAAGATATTTAAATTTAGATGCTATTGCCAGAGCTCGTCCTTTTACATAGACTGTATTATGGGGTCAATAAACATCATTATCATGAAAAGATAAGTAGATATACTCAGTTTTTGTTTTCAGTTCTCAGCGTAGACTGCTACTTTTGATCCTTTGATTCTTCTATTCTATTCTTTGATTCATTGATCCTTCTATTAGTACAATGTCATTTCCATATAGTACATTTCAGTGGGTTGGTTTATGAATGTCTGCACTTAAGATATTTAATAATAATGTTAAGCAGAAGTGTGGATGCCGATCCCTGATGCACGCCTACTTTAACAGAAAATTTATCTGTTACCCCCACTGCACTGCACTGCAAGGTAACTGTTCCTCCAATCCTGAGGCATGCATCCCTCCTGCAGGATTTTGTTAAAGAGGCGTGTGAGCTATTTTATGTCCGCTTCACCTGTATATTTCCAGATTTCTGAAGGTACTAGATCCGATCCGGTTGACTTATTTCTTTTCATTTTTAATACTGCTGCTTTTACTTCAGATGAACTGATTGCTGATATGGGTCCGTAATCCCTTTCTGGTGTGTCCAATATAGAATTTTCTTGCGCTTGGAATTTTGCTTTAGCAACTTCTTGTTTCGATTTTCTTATATTTATTAATATATTTTTGTTTGTCATTTTTCTGTTTGCTTTTTTGCCATATCTTAAAAAATTTCTTTTTGTTTTTGATATTTTCTTGCACATTCGGATTCCACTACCACCACTCTTTTCCTGAATGCAGCGGGCGTTTTGAAATCCCCTCAGCTTTACGGATACAAGTTTCTCTGAATTTTTGCTACATCTGTTCAGAATTATGCATTTTATAATTATTTTAATTTTGAAAATATTGCATTAATTCATTTGCAAACTCAGAATTACTTTTAATTTTGTACCACTTGATTTTAGCCATCCGTTGCGTTTTGTGTTTTACTTCTTGTGCTGCTAGTTTGAAATCGACAATTAGAACTCAATGTTAGTCGGTAAGAGACCCGTAAGAAATTTGATAAGAAATTTACGTATATACTAACATTTATTTGAATTGAATTTTACTTTGATTCGATTTTGCACATGATCTATTAAATTCTATTAAGCAAATAACGTTGGGCCAATTAAAGAAAAGAATTTTGAAATTCATATTAAATATTGCTAGGCTAGAACATTACAAAATTCATATTCAATTCCAAATAAAACCTTCATTTTTGTTTTAATAATAATATGCAGTTTTAACTTAAACGATCTCTCGCAGTCAGAACTCCAAACGCAAATTCAACAGTATTTGTATGTATGTGCATATATTACATGAGATTGATATTAAAACACAAAAAGCAGAAACAATGATTATTTTTTTTTTAAACTCAAGCAATAATTGAAAAATATACATACTAGCAATTAATATTCTTGCATTGTTCTTTATAATAAAAACGATTTGAAATTTGTAATTCACCCTTTCAAAAAAATCGTTCATCTTTAGCTCTCTAAATACCTAGCGTTTCTAACTAGTTTCTAAATAGTGACTAACTAATTCTATTTAATTTTATCTTGTAAAATTAACTATAAGTTAAATTAATAAGAAAAATAATTTTTCCATTTAATTGTCTTTAAAATAATATTAAATAAAATGTTTCCATATAGTGCTCATTATTAGTTTATTTATTTTTAAAATATAAAAATATAAAAAAGTGTTATATAAAATGAAAAAAAAAAAAAATAATAAAATCAGATAAAATATGTATAAAAGTTGTTTCTTAAATCTATTTTGAATAAAAATTTAAAATAAGTACCTAACTGGTTAATAAGTAGCTAATTTATAATAACGTATTTAAAATTTTTTAACTTATAACTAACGTAATTAATTAAGGATATTTCTTTTATCTTCTTCTGTTTTAATAATATTATCTAGAATATTTTCAAAATTTTGTGTTGCTTTTGCTACTTCCGAATTATCACTATATGAATCTTCTACAATTTCTTTAACTTTAGATAATAATTCACGAAAATTTTTCATGTCAGTTTCTATATTAATATCATCATTTTCATGTACTGATGTCAACTGTTTTGCGTTACGTGTTAATGATAAACTTGTAAATGATTTTCTTTTGTGAAACCATGTACTTAAATCATTAATTGAATAATCAGATCTGTTAGCTTCCAAATAAGTTTTATTTATATCAGCACCATTAACTAAAATATTTTTAAAATAGATTTTAGAAATTAATATTATGTAATTGCTATTTACTTGATCTAGATAATAGGCTATCTAGACACTTGGCATTTTCCTCATTAATTTTCAAACGATGTGGCGTACTGGATGCTGGGTAATGTGAAATATTTATAGTTTGCTAAAAATTTTAAATTTCAATTACATATTTTTAATTATGTGACATTAATATTTTACTTACTAATATTATATTAAGTTGTTTTAGTATATTCAACAATTCATTTTCATGACTTTGTAAGAACTCATGGAAATTTCTGTTTTTAGATAAGTCCAAACAATTTTTATGTTGAGCTATTTTTCTAAAAATTAAAAAAAAATTTTAGTATTATCAAATTAAATCAATTTCATATGTATTTATATGAATTATAAGTACTCCTTTTCTGTTGATAATTTTTCTATAACATTTTGTATAGTTTCAGACAGCACATTCGATGTGTTATTTACTACAGTAAGTGATTCTAAAACTTTAAAAAAATCACTTAAAACAAAAATTAAAAAATGTAAATATTCTTTACCATCTTCTTTTGAATCTCTAGTTTTTAATTCAATCGGACTTGTATCTTCTGATAATTTGGTCTCAACTGTTGAGGTCTCTGTGTCTTCGTTTGGTGTCAATTCTAATTGCATCTCTGTATCATTTATATCTGCGTTATAGTTTTTATTACTCAGAAAGAGAGTACATATTTTTGTTAAAAAATTTGTCCACTTAGATGGTGACGGGTCCTACAATATTTCATTATAGAAAAACATATTTTACAAAATAGTTTTTATTTATTACATCTTCGGTGAAAACTTCATACATACGATGTCCTATCGTATGCCTACTACTGGAAAATCCAATTGCAAAGCATTTCATGCAAAGCGATAAACGCTTGCAAGATTGACATTTAAAACGAATTCCTATAATAATTGACTGACAAGCTACACACGGTATTTTATGAATAAGCTTTTCTGTGTCTCGTATTCTTTTGACTAAAGCAAGTAGATTTGCATAAATCAAAAATCTTGTTGGAGTTGTCGTCCATAAATTATGAAACTGAAATTCATTTAAACCATTGATTCCGGGACACTGTAAATAATTTGAACAGATGAATTCGTTTAAATATGTATGTATATATATGCACATATATGTAATGAAGTTTTTTACTTGAGCAAAGCATTGTTGTAAAGTAATGGGTATATTACTTGCACCATATCCTTCCTCTTCTTCAATATATGTAAGTAACTTTATAAGAACATTTAATAAACATTCAAAACGAAATCGTGTAATACATCTGTTATGATCTGCCATTAGAAGAAAATATGCAGTTACTATTTGCTCAAAGGAATTTATATCACATAATAACAAAAATGTTTCCTTGAATTCCATTAATGTAATCGGATCCCTACGGTCACTAAAAGGGGGTATACCTTTGATTATAAAATAACCAGACCAATATACATACATAGATATGTATGAAATATAAGCAATACATAGACTTACGGATCAAAAACATTCCAGAAAAAATTTGCTAAAACTTTGGCAGCAGTTTCTACATCAAAATCACAAGATTCTTGAAATACACCCAATTTATCACTTTCTTGAAAAATTTCTCTTAATAGATTGACTAATTGCTTTGGCAGTATTGGTAGCAAATCATCGGCTGTATTCAAATGATGCCTTTCAAGGATTTGTAAAACGACTTTAAACTGAAGCTTTGATGCTAAAAATAATTAAAACCTTATAGTCTACTGCATACTATATATTTTTCGGTCATTATTTACTTACTATAGAGTAGTTTTTTAATGGTGCAAATTTTTAAAGCACATCTATAAACAGTGTATTTGTAGATTGAGTATTCATAATTCAAATGGGCCATTATTGCTAACAACTTTGGATGATCATTTGAATTATTATCATAAACCAAATATCCCTTGGTAGTCTCCATTTTATTAAACAAGCTTCAAACAAAAACAAATCGTAAATCCCAATTTTCAACACTTTTCTACCTGTTTGTTTAGGTCCTTTTTTTTTGTTACCTGTTTTGGAATTCTATCTTATCGTCCGTTTAATTTGAAAAATGTCAAATTCAAATATTTGAATTTTGTTTTTAATCATGCAACAATAATTAACCTAGCGTTAGACGGGCATTTTCACATAACTGTCAGAATGACAATGTTTGATTTTATGATATTATTTGAATATACTGCATACCTAATTTTGTTGAACTTTTATAGCAATTTTTACAATTTATTTATACATATGTATGTATGTACTGAACCAGTGTGTGACTTAATCGGAGTTAATAGTTTTAAACCTGCGGCAGGCTAGTCACCTACCTAGTTAAACCCTATGACGCTATGAAACTAGTGCATGAGAAATCATGCACTAGCCCTATGCTCCTTCTAGGAGTGAACAAAGGAAAAAAAAAAAAAAAAAAAAAATAGTTTTAAAAATATAATTTGTAAATTTGTAGTTTATTAGCAACAGAATCGTAAGCGAGCAATAATAACCTGTACCTCTTTAAGTGGTACCTAATTTAAAAATTATTTGCTGGGACCAAACTAATCTATTATATTATGTCGATCTGAATGTAGAAAAAAAACAAGATTCAGATTTCAAAATGAATGTTAATGAAGAATTTTCAGTTGAACAGGTTGAACAGGTAAATGACTTAGAATATAATGAGCTACAACTTTTTGTACATACAAAATCCGTTCACTGAAAGATAAGGGTTCCAAATTTGTTAGAAAACTTTCGTGAACAAAGACAAACTATGTACCTACATACATATTCGTTCATGTACTTAAAATGGACAACAAAAATTTATATTTACACGGACTATCATTTTAAATTATTGAGGATTAACTACATTATATAATTATCAACTGTATGAACTTAAATACATACTTATGTGTATGTATGTAGATTTTAATTTAAGCATGCATATGTAAGAACATTTTTTTCACTTCAAAACATTCTTTAAAATTAGAATTGATAATTCTGAAATATCAGCAAATAACCAAAAATTAAAAATAAAGATAAGATTATTTTGCCTAGTATGGTGCTATTTCCAAGTGTTTGCGTTCATATGTATGAACGTATATGCAGGAATATACGTATATGTACCACGCAGATGACGTACATTATAGATATCCAGATAAATATAAAATCGTTTACATTGTATCATGGAATAAAGCTATTTCTCCAAATCCTTTTTACTAGTAAACTATAGAGGAAAAATTAATATACCCGGTTAGACAGAAAAATGCGTCTAATAATATGAGTAAATCACCGATAATCAGATAAAATTTAGCCCAGTCTTGCAGTATATTCTTCTATTTCCATGATAAATCATGGAAACAGTAATAAATAATTAAACTTTTATATTTTATAAAAACAAAATTTTTATTGAAAAATTTTCAAGCAATGGTGTTTATGTATATTCAAGTGTATGTACAATTTAAATTTTAAATATATTATGCAACTTTGGTTAGGTAGTGCGTATCTACTTTGGTGACCGCCTACCTAAATAAATTGTTTTTAAAACTGAATGAGTTTATTATCACAGTAAATACCCGCCTTCAAAAGTTTTATACTGCTACAGAATAATAAATAAATAAAAATAGAATTGCTTTAGTTAAATTAAATTTATGTCAGCTTCTTGACAATGAAGATTCTGATTTGAATTCTTCTTCTCCACCAATTATGTCTTCAATTACTTCTTCAGTAAAAATCAATTCTGATTTGTTTTTAATTTTAATATGTTCTTCTAAAAGTGGTATAGGTTGCGCTAAATTACTTGTAGACCATAAATATAAGTCTAGTGTTCTACCCGTACACTCAGCAATAAAACGAATAAATGGACGTATATCACCTTCATTAGCTAATTGTAAGTAGTTATAATATCTGTGTCTTAATTGTTTTGGTATAATGATTGGTGGATAGCCAGCTCTCATTAATATTGTGTTCATTAAAAGTCTTGAAGTTCTTCCATTTCCATCAATAAAAGGATGAATATGGACTAATTTATAATGTGCTAGTGCAGCATATTTGACTGGGTGCATAGTAAATGAATTTTCAGAATTTAACCATCTTTCAAAACTATTCATCAATACGGCAAGATCATCCGGCCCGGGTGGGACATGCCCACCTACATAAACCTGATTTCTCCTAAATTCACCACCCTCAATTGGGTCTACATGTCCAAGTACTCTACGATGTATTTCTAAAATATCTTTTAAAGTTATATATCCTTGTTTATTAACTAAAGTTGCATTAATATATTTCATAGCAGCATCAAGACCTATAATTTCATTATGCTCATCAATTGATTTGCCATCAACCGCCATCCTTGTTTCTATGATAGATCTAGTTTGAGCCAAAGTCATTGTATTTCCTTCAATACCAACTGAATGATATATATGCTGAAAATACGCTTCTTTTTTTGCTCGTCTTAATGCGCTATTTGATTCTTCAATTCCTGATAAAGCATCACGTTTTTTATCTAACTCTTTTAAAGTATTTTCATCAATTACATCAACAATACTCGCAGTTCGCCTTCTATTTTCAATTGCTTGTGTATCTCTTGGATTAATCATTAAAGCTTGATAATATAATTGATCTGCTTGAACAATATCTTTATGATATTGTTCAAGAAATTCACCATAATTTACCAAAATTTCTGGATGCTTAGGTGCGAGAGCAACTGCATGTTTAAATAATCGACAAGCTTTATCAGGTTTACCAGCAGACTTCATTTCAATTGCTAATCTTAGAGTAGATATTGCCTCTTGGATATTTGCATTTAATTCAATAATATCATTTTGTTCATTTCTTGGAATGAATGGAGAATACACAGAAAAATCATCTCGAACTTGTAAATTTGTTTCATCTGGTACATGGAAGCTAATTTGTGAATATCGGAAATATTTGTTATGTATAAACAAAAATATTACAGACGAAAAAAATACACCAGTTATAAAAATGATTATACTATTTAAGCTAATTTTTATAATCGTATGATCCAATAACATTTTTAATAAATTAGGCATTGCAATAAATTAAACAGTTCTTAAATAATGGAAACAAATGAGGTATTTCCGTGTTTTGTATTTTTTCATAACATTGCAGTCATGACTTTTCTCCTTTTACAAATTCTTAAAATACCTGAAAAAGTGTAAACATTTTAAATTAATAATTAAGAATAAAAATTTAAATTTATTACTATTTGTATATAAAAGAATTTTGATGATAAAAATCGAAGTTCTCTAGCCAACTCATTACTTATAATTTGACGTTTATAAAAACAAGGATCAGCTGAATGGTTAGAATAAAGCTCTTTTAAAATAAAATTTTGTTAACGATTTTCTTCTACGATATTTTTTTTTTCAACATTCAACATATGTTTGTAATTTGTAATTTGTATTTATTTATACTTTGTTTATGCTTTATTCGACTTTGACATTTGTGCAATATTTTGTAAAAGCTCTTTCTTACTGAGTTTACATTACTGAGGATAAATTTAATGAGAACTTTAATAATAAAAACGAGAGTCACGTACTGTTTATAAAAAACAAAACCTGTCATATACTTAAGATTTAATCTGACTCAAATGAAAGTTGTATTATAGAAAAGAAACTGCTTGGCATCAGACATTGTCTGACGACATATAATAGAATATTATTCTGTTCTTATCAGATTTATAGTACTTTAAAATTTTTTGGAAAAGTTTTAAAAAGCCATTAGATTGTTTTTATTTTGATTATAATTTTCATAGGAAACTGGTAAATTTTAACGTATAGTTTGAGCACCATCAGATAATTTCAGTCTGATAAGTCTAATTGTCGTAATTGTTTAATTGTAAAACAACTTATAACTCATATAATTTCGTACAATATTCAAATCTAGTTTTTTTGACAATTGGTGTAGTTTTCGATTATTAAGTAAGATATTAAGTAAGATCATCCAAGCAATAAATGCAATAACACGCTTTGTTATAAAATGGTTGAATTTTATTTTGATAAATATTACAAATGTTTTTCAAACATAATAGTTGTCGGTGAGGAAATTATTTGTAAAGAACAAAAATTTTATGAGAAAAATTAATATTATTTTAGTTAAATTTGAAAAGCAAAAAAATTATAATAGGTCCTTTCCTGTAATATTTATTCATCATTGCCTTTGAATATTACGTTAATTAAAATCTTTTTATTTGAAATATAGTATTATGTCAATTTGAGGTCAAAATGATATATTTTTATAATACGAATTAGTACAATTTTTAATTTTAATCAAATAAAATTTAACAACATGAAGTTAATTTCTCAAATTCTTATAACAGCAATATTAATATGTATAAATTTGCTTAATTTTAATTAAATTCTTTTCGATTACATGTCTTTTGGAAAATTGTACTTTAAAATATTTTTATAACTTTATAAAATTAGTACTATTTTTTTGTACTCGTATTCATCCATGCTATCTTCGAGCAACTTCAATTTCATATCACACACTACAAAAAAAACAAAATGTTTTCATTTTATATTTTCATTTTGTCCATATATAAAATAAAAATATCAAAAAAAAAAGAAAAAAAAAGAAACAGGCATAAAGATAAAAAAACAAAAAAAAAAAAATGAAAAACATAAAATCTATACTACATTACGACGGCTGACTACGGCGAACTACGGCTGACTACAATACAATTTTCTTCTTTTTTTTTTAGTACTGTTTGAGACATCGAAACGTATTGTTGTCGGTAATAGGGTTGACGCGTGTGTTTACTTTATTACAATAAATTTTTCAGAAGAAGTGAAGAGAAAAAAAGCAGCAAAAAGAAGAAAACAAAAATTACTACATACATCAAATCCTATATTGATTTTTTCTCCAAAGGAATTTTTTCTTCTTTTTTATTTTATAAAAATTTGGGAATTGTAATTTTTTTTTTCTTTTCAAAAGTAAAAAGAAAAATTTTTGTTTTATTAATAAAAATTATATTTAAAACTACAAAATTCCCATATTATAAGATTTTAGAAAATAATCACATATTTTTGATTTGTATAATTGAAATTTTGTTAAAAATACCAAAGAAAATTTTTATAAAAAAAAAAAATTAAATTCTCTATTTGAATGTAAAAGAGAAAAATAAGCAAAAAATAAAAGTCAAAATAAAAAATTCAGTGCCAGTGTGGTAAAGAAAAAAAAAAATAAAAGATAGTCATGGCTTCTTTTCATGGGCCGGGTTAGTGTAACTTAAGTGTATAAAAAAAACCTTAAAAGAAGAAAAACTACTTAATGAATGCTTTTTTTTTTTTGGTCATTCATTAAACAAAAATAATATTTAGCTAATATTTTGGAAAATGATTAACTAGCTACTCTAATAAATTGAATAATAAAGAATAAATATTTGTAATTTTTATTAAGTACCAACAATACCTTATACCTACCCAATTTAGAGCATTTTATTAATTTACACATCTCTATTGTATTTATCACATAATTACCTATTTTATCAAAAACAAAAATTAAAATATAGTATTGGCTAAAAGTACTCATAAAAAATAATAAAATATTTTAGTAACAAGTTAAAGAAAATAACCACAATATTATCTTGTTATTCTGTGCCCCCTTTTTTTTTTGGATACACTTAACTATTGGTAGGTACTAGTACCTTATACTCACTGTTATCTGCTCTTTAATAAAGTGAAGTGCAAAATAAAATTTCAAATTTCCTTATTAGTGTTACCGCAACCTATACATATGTATATGTATGTATGTAACGTAATATTATAAATTCTTTACAATTTCGGTGCAAAAATTAAATTAGTAAAAAAAAAATTATTACTTATATAAAAAAAAATAAAAAGTGAATATTTGTGATTTTGTTTTTGTATTTTTTAGTTTAAAAATCTTGAAAAAAAATATTTGTTAAAAAAAAAAACAAAAAAAAAAAAAATTAATTATAAAAACACAAAAATACAACAAAAAAAAATTAACAGGAGAAAAAAGAAATCAACTTCAAATTCAACATGAAATTTTGGATATTGTACTTATTATCCTTGTTAGGTAAGTACACAGAAAGTCATAGTAAAAAAAAAACATAATATCTCTTATATTATATAAAAAATTATGTAAAAACAATATACAATTTTTATATTATGAAATGAAAACTTCAAAAAACAACACATGCATACTCACATATTCATATATATATTTTTATTAGAAAAGATTTACATACTGCCATACTTACTCCTTATTAAAATAATACCTTACTTTAACTACTATGGCTAGTAGCTCTTATATTTCAAATAGTTAAAATTTTGGTTTTAAAAGGAATTCTCCTTTATTCCTTTTTAAAGCAAAAAATAAATACATACAACAATGTATACATCTATGTATACTTAATAAAATTACATTTTTACAAAATATATCCACATGTATACATAAGTATGTTTTTCTTACGCAAAAGGCTACAATCAAAAAAAACATAATAATAGAAAATAAAATCTTAAAACCACTCCATCCATACTATATAGCAAAGCAGCAAAAATACAAAAAAAAACAATAATAATAATAAAAAAATTCAAAATAACAAAACAGAAAAAAAAATGGTATTTTATAACAAAAATAACAAAATTTTTAGTAAAAATAACAAAAAAAGCAGCGAAAGAAAAATGATAAAAGAAGAAAAAAAAAAACAATAATAAAAGTCAAAAAAAAAAAAAGGAGAATAACTTAAACTCATTGTATTTTTTTTTTGGTTTTTGTAAAGCAAATGGCAACACTTGAAATAATCTACTACATTTACACTAAAATTTAATATTTAAAATTTGTTCTTTTATTTTTGTTCTTGTTCTCCTTGTGTTTTTTTTTCAGTTCTTTTCGTTTCTTTTCTATTTTTTTTTTAAATATAACAATATTTTAATATTATAAAGCCGAAATACGAGAAAACCAAAACAAAATATAAGAGGAAAAAGGAAAAAAATAAATTTTTTTCATTTCTTTTTCTATTATAATTATATAAAATGAGACTGGCTGTTTTTAGAGGTAAACAACAATCGATAGCAGCGCAGGCGGTTTTTATAACACCCTCTCTTTTTTTTCTTTTATTTTTTGTTTTTTACGTTCTTTTGGGATAAAGAATAAAAGGAAAACGAAAAATAACACAAAAAAAGAAAACAAAATAAGCAGAGAAAAAAAAATCCTTATTTTATTCTTATATTTTTATTATTTTTTTTCTTTTGTTGTTGTGTAGTCTCTTTGAATCCTGCCAACTATCCATATACCTTTTTTTTTTTCCATATTTTTCTGATATATATTTACATATTCATGTGGATACATATGGTTGGAGTAGTAATAATGCCTATAGGGGTATATATACTTAAAATAATATTATAATAATACATACTTACATTATATTTTTATATACTTACATATATGTATATAATTGTGTATATTCTTGTAGATATACATATTTTACATTCAATATTGAAGATCTAGTACAAGAAAAAACATAAATATCTATAAATATAATAAATTTATTAAAATAAGGATATTCACGAAGCGTATTACAAATTTTCTTGAAGATATACTTACTCTATGTGTGCAAGTATGTATTTAATATTATTTAGTCATAAGCTATCCATCCGTGTCGTTCTTATATATCGTAAGTTGCTCATTTTGTCGAAACAGTTGTATTCCTATACTTTTTTAATATTAGTGTATATTAAACTTTTGTCGTATGCCGTTAATATTATTTTGTCGTCCTCTTCATTATTGTGTCGTTGTTAATATGTTGTTCGTATATATGATTGCCGTTTCGATATCGTTTCTTCAATCGACTTTATTTTTTTTTATATTTTGCTAAATTTCTTATAGGATTTTCTTTTCATTTTTATTATTATATTTTAGCTGTTTCAATAATCATCAATATAATAAATACATTTTACCTTTATAATATGAACATAAGTATACAAGTGTTAGGTACTTATATAATATTATAGAAATAATTATAAAATGAAAAAAGAGAAGAAAGAAAATACGTAACCGTTATATGCTATATATTCGTTTCAAATAAGGATATCTTCATTTTGTATTTTTGTTACTTCATTTCTCCCCTTCTACTCCACTTTATTATTATTATTATTATTTTCAATTGTTGTAACAAAACATTTATTATGTATGTTTTCTATTCCAAATAGGCGTACATATGTACAAACCTCTTATATAATTATGTAAATACATTTTATATTTACGTACATAATATATTAACACATATAGATTGTAAGAATTTACATCAGTATGCATTTCGTACTTCTATGAT